AATTTCTTTTTATTCTAGCAAAAAAAAACCAGAATGAAATAGAGACTTAGCTATCCTACCTTGATATTTTGAATTTCTCAAGGTGACCTGCCTGAACTCAACTTATTTAACTTTGGTTAAAAAAAAAAAGGATTCACATTTATGACTCGATTTAAAATTTTATAATAGACTTAATGATTAGTGTTGGTACCTTTTTTATATTTGAAGAAAAACACCCATTGGTATGCTTTTTATTTTAGATAAGTGCATTTGTTTGCAAAGTATGATCATCCTGTTTCAAAAGTATTTTTAGAAATATCTAGGATTAATCTGAAATTAAGATGACTCATTTCTCAGTGATGTTAGAAAATATTTACTTGAATTCACCTTAGTGAATAAGCCAAATCATTACTAAGTTTTCTAAAGAAGGCATAAAATTAATCTGAAAAGAATCAGAATAAATTATTATTTGAAAACGCAACACTTTTAAAATATCTTTTCTGATTTTTTTTTTTTAATATCAAGTCTGAAATTACAGGATCAAAAATAGATTAATGGAGGGAAGGGAGAGTCTGATTGCCAAGGGGCAGCATCAGGATATCTTATGGGGTAACTGACCTATTCCAAAGCCTAATTATGGTGATGGCTGTACAAATCCATGTGGGCCTTCACACTCAGAATTGAGTTCCAGAAGAAAACACTGTAAACATATACATCCTTTGATGGCCTTGGAACTATGTACATTTGTCCAAATGAATTGATCACTTTAAATGGGTAAATTTAATTGTGTGCAAGTTATACCTTAATAAAGTTTTGGTTTTTTTTAAGTCAGCTGAGCCTGTGCCCTGAGTCCTGGAGCCTGCAGGGGGGACAGCTTTAGAAATACCTGCAAGTATCCCACAGGGTAGTCATGAAAATTAAGTATCAAGGACATTTTCAGTCCCTGTCAAGACGAAAGAAGGTCTTGGTAGGGTAAAAGAATGAAATTGAGATATCCCCCCTTGAACCAAATCTTGCTCAGTATTTATCACTGCAGGATTCAGCTCATGTTGTGTCCTCATCTGTACAATGGGGATTCTAACTTCCTATCCTACCTGCCAAGTTTGTAGTAAAGATTAAATTGACAAGTTCTTTTCAAAGGGCAAATCACTTTTCAAATTAAAAGCCTTATTTTTTAGATCACAGGCTTCTCTTGGACCTGCTTCTAGCTGATTTTACTCTGAGCCCTGTTGGAGAGATATGTAGGGAGGGAGAATGCTGGCTGTGAGCCTAGCTTGTTCCAGCCTCTCACTTTTAGTCATTACCAAATGCGGGGAAATCCTCTGTCTTGTTCTTACCATTCACTGTGCATCCTGTGGATCCTAACTCTGTGCCAGGCCCTGGGTGACATGCTTTGTGACATATTGATAATTAGGATTCATTCTCTACTCTTTAGATGACTATGATGTAGGCACAGTGTAAAGAAGGCCATAGGGCGGCCTGGTTACAGTGCTAGGGGAACAGAGGTTGGTGCAGTTCATTTCAGTCTGGGCCTTTATAAGAGGCATATCACAGGACCTTGGGAGCCAGCAGCATTCAGAGGTCTGGTATGCTAGCCACCTCCTTTGTAGGATGAGCCTCTTCTCTTCAGCACAATCACATAAATTATCAAGCAGTTATTTGGTGCCAGGCACTGTGCAGAAGAACCAAAGATAGATTTTCCTTGAACCTGTGGTCATCTTCATTCCTCCGTTCATAAGACATCTATAAGATGTAAGACTGAAGGTATGAAAGTCACGGCTTTGAGTTCTTCCTCTTTCAGATGAGATCAGCAATAAATGGCCTGTTACCTTACTGAAATTGAGGCCACAGTTGAAGTTATCCTGGGTGTGGGGAAGCACAGAGGAGTACCTGTTCCACTCTTGGTCAGGAAAGATAGCCCAAACTAAAGAGGTGATGTCTGAGCTGAGCCTGAGTTACTAATGGAAATTGGCTAAGTGCAGGAGGAGGAATGGTGTTTAAAGCAGAGGGAAAATCATGTATGCACAGAGGAGACAGTTGAGCATGTTTGGGTAGCTGCTCAATGTGACTAGAAAGAAGGGACTGCACAGAGAGTAGTACAACTTAGTAAGGAAGGGGAACAGAAAGAGGCTTTTGTTCATTCAGCCCAGCAGGCTCACCACTACCTCTGGGGACAGACCCATGGATATTTAGGCCCTCTAGAGAGAAAGAGGCATCTCTGCTGTGCTTCCCAGACCCCAACCCAGAGTTCAGCTGTGCTCCAGGGAATCTGCCTGTGGACAGGCTGGGCACAGGCTTTCCCACTGCCCTTTATCCACCGAGATCTCACAGCCCCTCTCATTAGTTACTGATCTTGCGTTCTGTTGTGGCTGTGCCCCCCATAGAGCCAAGTTGTGTTGTCCCTGACCCTCGCCACTCTGCCTCTGCTGTCATTGCTACTACTTCAATAGAATGGTTCCAAACAGACCTCTGAGAATGAGCCTGAGCCTCACCCCTCCTACTAACAGAAGGGCCATGGAGAAGCAAGTGGGAGGAGTGTTGTCCCTGGAGTCAGCTACAGGGAATGCCTGTTTTCTTTGTCAGATAAAGTCCCTTGCAGCTCAGAGTCCTTCTGTGGTGGTCTGCAAGCCAGGTGTGTGGTCTGAGGGTAGACCAAAGAGCTGCTTTTGCACTATGCCTGTGAGGCAGGCCTGTAGGATAGTAGATGGCAGTCTGGGAAAACCTATTCTTTCCTTCTGGATAATTTTGATTCAGTCATTTAACTCCTCTCAGTGTCGGTGTCCCTAAAGTACAGATTCTGGTTTCTCTTCCTAGAGCATGGTGAGGATCCAGGTGAATACTCTGTGGAACTTCTTTGAGAACAATAAGGTTTAAGAAGGAGTAGTGGGTTTGCTGCTATTCTTAGGAATTGGGAATCAGGACAATCTGGAATGGGCTTTCAGGTGTGGAGAAAATTGCTGTTCTGTCCTCCTGTCTGTGTTTGTATTAAACAATTCATAAGAACATCAAAATAAGGGACCAATAAAATATCTAGGATATATAAAGAATTTCTACAACTCAGCAACAAAACCCAATTTAACAGGTAGGCAAAGAGTAGTAGAACACTTGCTTAGTATATGCAAAGTCCTGGGTTTGATTCCCCGCACTAAAGGAAAAAAAAAAAAAAAGGTAGCCAGAGGACTTATAGACATTTGACCAAAGAGAAAATATGCTCACTGGGCACTGGTGGCTCACACCTGTAATCCTAGCTACTCAGGAGGCAGAGATCAGGAGGAATGTGGTTCAAAGCCAGCCCAGGCAAATAGTTTGCAAGACCCTATCTCGAAAATAACCCAGTACAAAAAAGGACTGGTGGAGTGGCTCAAGGTGTAGGCTCTGAGTTTAAACCCCAGTACCACAAAAAAAAAAAAATTAATAAATAAAAAATATGTATATATATGCTCAGCAACACTAATCACGAAGGAAACACAAATCACAACTACAATGAGGTACCACCTCACACTTACTAAAGTGCTTTTTTTTTGGCAGTACTGGGGCTTGAACTCAGGGCTTCATGCTTGCTAGGCAGGTACTCTACCACTTAAGCCACTCCATCAGCTCTTTTTTTGTATTGAGTATTTTTGAGATAGGGTCTCAAGAACTATTTGCTCCCGCTGACTTTGAACTGCGATCCTCCTGATCTCTGCCTCCTGAGTAGCTAGGATTACAGGCATGAGCTAGCAGCGCCCAACTAGAGTGCTATTTTTAAAAACAACAGGTGTTGATTGGGATATAGAGTAATTGGAACCCTTGTGGGGATGTAAAGGGATACCACTGCTGTGGAAGACAGTGTGGCTGTTCCTCAAAAATTAAACAGAATTACCATACGACCCAGCAATTTCACTTCTGGGTCTGTACTCAAAAGAACTGAAAGTGCAGTCCTGTTCATGACAGCTTTATTCACAGTACAGAAAAGGTAGGAACAACCCAAATGGCCGTGAGTGGATGAATGTAAATAAGCAAAATGTGGGATATATATACACACAATGGGATAGCATCTCAAAAGATAGTTTTTTCTTTTGAGGCAGGGGCTCACTTTGTTGCCCAGTCTGGGCTCCAATGCTTGATCTTCCTCCCTTCTCCCGAATGCTGGAATTACCAATGTGTGCCACCATGCCCCACTACTACTCAGTTTTGAAAAGGAAAGAAATTCCCATATGTGCTCCAGTGTCAATGAACCTTGAAGATATTATGCAAAGTGAAATAAGCCAGTCACAAAAGGACAAATAGTGTATGATTCCTCTTATATGAGGTACCTAACATAGTCAAATTTATAGACACAGAAAGTAGGAGGGTGGTTGCCAGGGGATGGGGGAAGGAAAGAGTGGGGAATTACTGTTTCAGTTGGAGAAGATGAAAGGATTCTGAAGAGGGATGGTGATGATGTTGTACAACACTATGAACATACTTCATACCACTCAACTATACACTTAAAATGACTTAAATGGTAAGATTGTATATTTTACCACATTTTAAACAGTGATAAAACATGAACATGGAAATGAACACTAAAAAAATGAACATCAAAGACAGTTTTAAGTGTAGTAGGGGTTAGATAGAAGCCTCAAAGTGGCAGTCTCTGGCCCACTTAGAGAAGCAATTCAGCCTCATTATCAAAGAGCCTAGGACCTTATGGGATGCAAGGATTCATGCCACCCACCAAACCTTTCTTAGTACCAGCTAGTGTAGTTACTGCCTGTTCTGCCCAGGTGTCCAGAGATCTACCCGCCGCCCCAATGAGGTGGCCCTACTGGTCTCCATGGGGAGTGTGTCCAGCACAGTTATTTTCCATTCCAGTCCTGTTGCAGTGTCTCAGCTGGGTTTAGACCTTTTTCGGTTATGGGGGAGACACAGCAGGTGTCCTGGGCCTATGCCAGCAGTAGCTGATCTACCACCCCAGATTGCTGAACATCAGGAGGAAATTTCCACAGCTTCCGTGGCCCCTCTGTTCTCAGGTGTCACTTACCCTCTGTTCTCTGCAGGTTTTCTTTTCCTCTGCCTGCAGCATTGCTGTGGATGCCACCTTGAAGAAGAAAGCTGAAAAGTTCCAAGCCCACCTCACCAAGAAGTTCCAGTGGGACTTTGCCTCAGAGCCTGAGGACTGTGCCCCAGTGGTGGTAGAGCTCCCTGAGGGTGTTGAGACTGGCTAACTTCTGGAAATTCTCTAGCCATGAGAGGCCCCTTTCCACAAGTCTGCAGCCCCAGTCTCCACTCACTCCATCCTTTTCTGGGACCCTCGAGGACCACAATCCTGCAGTTTCTGCAAAGATGGAACCAGAATTCCCTCTTTCATTAGTAAATAAGTTCCTGTATTGCCAAAGAGTCTGTACTTGTCTTAAAAGTGCATTCATGCATTCTCTGTCAGGTCAGCCCTGGTGCTAACCTCACTGAATTTCAGACAGAGGCCCTTACAGAAGCTCCAGGTGAGACCTGCTCCACCAGCAGCCTAATTTCTTCTGACGAGAAGAAATTGAATCCTAAGTCCAAGAGAATTTGTTGGTTTTTCCATAGAATGATTAGGAAAAACAAGCCCTGAACTGCCCCAGAGTCTGAGACATTAGTTGGTGTTTTTGTTTTGAGTTAAACGTAGGGCCATTGTGGGCCAAAACAGAATTTCTGTCTGCCCTGGTGGAACAGGAGTCCATGTCAGAAAATGGGCCAGTGGGCCCTTGGGAGCCCAGACTGGGAGGGGTAATGAGGACAAGTGGGTTGAGACTGACAAGTGGTCAGCTTTGGCTTTCCTCCTCTAAATTCTGTTCTGACCAGAGGCCCCAGTAAGCAAACTCCCAGAACTGATACGTTCCCACCCTTGGGCCTGCTGGTGCTGTTACCCCTCATGTGTTCCACCTGAGGCCTCACACCCAGAAGTAGGACTTGGCAGCTGTGACTATGTCTGATGACCTGGAGAATTGACAGTAAGAAGAGTTCTTGCCCCAAGCAGGCTTCTTGGGTCTTGTTGGGTTTCTGTGCCTTTTCTTTGAAGCCATGGAGATGACGTGGTCAACCTAAATCTTCCCCATCCTGTCCGTCATCAGAGTTCTGACACCTTTGGTTTCCTGGGAGTCCTGAGCACCTGCCCATCATGCCGTGTGGGCAGAGTTCCATCTCTAGACGGTGCACAGGTCTTCCACCCTGGCCGCAGACTGTGGTACTGTTAAATCCTGGTGCCATCCTCCTGCAAGGCTGGGGCTCACAGCAGGTTTCCAGGTGAGAATCCCCTTGGTTAAGACTTCAGCTTCCTCTTGTTTCTTTGTAGATGTTTTTCAGACAACATAATGTTCATTAAAGTCTTTGAGTGGAGACTAATCCCTTGTGTGAGTCTTACACTTAATCTGCCCAGTGCCCATCATAGCCAGGCTTCTGTCCTAGAAGCACATTTTGCAGAGTACCCAGAAGACCGTGCCCAGTCTCACTCTCTAGACGGGGCAGGCAGCCAGTCTTGCCTCTGTCCCCATAACTTGAAGTTTCACTTTGTGGGAATTTGCTTTTCTTTTCCTCCTCAAAGCCCACTCATAAGAACTAACTGGGAAGCTTGTTAAAAGTACAGGTTCCATGGAATGAAGTGCGGATGCATGCTACACATGAATGAACCTTGAAAACAGTATATGAAAGAGGCCACAAGACCATTCCGCTCACGTGAAGTGTCCAGAGTAGGCAAGTCCAGAGAGATGGAAAGCAGATCAGTGGTTTCAGAGGATGAGTGAGAGATGGGGAGTGACTGAGGTTTCTTAGCTGATGAAACTGTCCTGGGACTATATGGTGGTGTTGACAGTAACAACCTTATTAATACAGTATGCTAAACCACTGGTGGTGTATTTTAAATTAGTGACTGTTGCACTGTGTCAGTTATTTGATCATTTCCTATGTCACCCTTCGGGGATTTGAAGGTAGTGAGTTGGGCGGGGCCTGGGTCTGAGGCACACTCAGCTTTGAGTGACATTACTGAGCAGTAACAGCATTGTGCATAGTACCAAGAACACCTTTGGTTTTGTTTTTTGCTTTGGTTTTTTGGGTGGTAGTGGGTTTGAACTCAGGGCCTCATGCTGGCTAAGCAGGTGCTCTACTACCTGAGCCATTCCTCCAGCCCTTTTTTGTGTTGGGAATTTTTTTAGATAGGGTCTCATGAACTATTTGCCCAGGGCTATCTTCAAACCGAGATCCTCCTGACCTCTGCCTTCTTAGTAGCTAGGATTACAGGCATGAGCCATTGGCACCTGGCTCTTAGAGCACTTTTGGGACAAATTTGTCTCCCACTGGCATTGTCAGGGCAACACCTGGAGGTTGGATCAGGTGACCTCATTCCCCAGTCCCGCAGTATTCCTGTGTCTACCCAGCCGTCCCCAAAACAGGTTAAACAAGAGTAACTGCTATTGACTAAGTGCTCTGTTTAATTTTCTTAATCCTCACAACAGTGTGTGGTAAATCTACAATTACCCCCATTCCACTTACATGAAAATGGGCTCAGAGATAAATCCTTTTGCTGGAGTCACACTTGCTCTTGTATGCCCAGGCCAGCCTTTTTCTCCACCTTGCTCTCCAGGTCTAGCTTTGGCTCAGCTTACAGCCAGCTGTGTGACTTTGGGCAAGCTTCTTGTGTTCTCTGGGCCTCAGAGATTATGGGTTTCTGATAAGATTCTCTAGACTCCCTTGGGTATTTAAAAAAACATAATTCTTACATTGAATTTTTTCAAACGGGAAACTGCATTAATGCATGATAGTATGTCTGGGCTAACATAAAATAATAGGTCTCAGCTGGGGACATGGCTCAATTGATAGAGCGCCTGCCTAGCAAGCATGAGGTCCTGAGTTTAAACCCTATACCACCAAAAAAAACCCAAACAAAACAGGCTGAAGTGATACCAACTTTAGGTCTTCTGCGTGTCCTGGTTGGCAGTCATCTGTGTGTCTTTGGTGAATAAAAAATTTGCAAATAAGTTGATTATTACTTAATACCTGCAGTAATTTTGGAAGGCAGAGCCTTGGAAACAGAGCATTGGTGAGGCTGATCTTTAAGCTCCTTTTGCAGTTCTAAATGCATCTGAAAGTGAAGCTAAGGGCAGGCCCTGGCCTGGTTTTAAAATCTCAAATGCAGGCCTCCTGGGGTCTGGCTCTTACTTGCAAGGCTGGTTTATCCTATTAACAGCATCAGCAGAGGTGGTGACTTGCCAACCCCTTCCGCTGTCCCCAGGACAAACCCTTGCTGCTCTGAGCCTCATGGCATCTAATTTCTCATCACTTGAGCAGTGGAGGAGTTCCCGCGGTTGATTGCCTTTTACCATCAGTAATTATTTCCCCAATGTCATCTTGTAAATATTGTTTAATGTTCCCAGGGCACTGTGACATGCTGGTCTCTCCAGCTAATCAGACTTTGGCTTGACTAAGATACCCTCCCCTGCTGAAATGGAGGCTGGAAATGCAGAACAAATGATGTGGCCACAGCCAACACTGAGTCACATCTGCCAGGTTCAAAGCAGAATGGAATGGAGATGCTACCCTAGCTACTCATGAATCCTGGGAACCTCAGACCTGCTTTGCTCCACTCCTCTGCTGATCAGGGACAAAGCTTCCTCATCTCAGATCCTCCGTCTCGCCTGGGCAGGGCTTGGTTTCCATTAAACCCGTGTAGACCCCTCTTCTCTCCAAACTATCCAAGGTCTCTGGTGCTGGCTCATTTGCTGACTCCCGACCCCCACCCTAGGCTCCTGCTGCATACAATGCAGGATAACAACCAGAAATCAAGCGAACTGCTCACTGCTGGGGATGGCATGCTCACCGTCCTTAATCCCTCCTTCAGCCCCCTCCTTGCCCCATCACTGACCATCATGTCCTGGATCTGACCCGCCTCTCTGGACGCCAGGCCTGAGGGTGGTCAGGCTTTCTATTAAGCTGCTTGGTAGGAAGAAGAGAGAAGTCATGGACTTCTTGATGGAGTTATCTGATGTCCAGCAGCCTGTAAGAAAGAAACTACAGGTCCTCTTTTCTTGGATCTTTGTCCAGCTTCTTCCCTCCCCATATTTCTCCATTTCCTTTCTGTCCACTTCCCCAAATGTCTACCTGACTCACTTCTAAGGGGATGCAAACAGACAGTTCATCTTGAGAGTGAGCTGGAGGAAATTGCAGAGTCTTTGCCAAAAAGCTGAGAGGCAGATTTGGGGGGCCGAGGGCGGGGGGCTCTCTAGAAGGTCTGTGCATACAAGTGCAGAGTGGGGATGCAAGAGAGAAGTTACAGAGAAGCAGAGAACAGCCCTATCCCTCATCCAACCAACCTTTATGAGAGCCTGTCACAGCCAGGTGCCACCTCCCTGCTCCCAAGAGCATCTGTTCTAGTTGGGAGAACCAGCCAATAGGCACACTAGATAGATTACATAGTATGTTACCTATGAGTGATGCTGGGGATGGGGGAGTGGGAGATAGTGCAGGACAGAGAATTTGAGGGTTCTAGCAGAGTGAGGGAATATGCTTCAATTTAAGTGGGGTGACAATTTCAGCAAAGATTTGAAGGGGGTGAGCAAGTAAGCCATGTGGATATCTGAAAGAAGTGTTCCAGGCAGAAGGAACTGCAAATGCAAAGTCCCTGGGGCAGGAGCATGTCTGGTGTATGGAAGGATCACCAGAGGGTCAGTATGGCTGGGAGTGGTATGATTGAAATGAGGAATAGTGGAGGAAATCAGAGGCTACAGAGGAACCAGACTCCATGGTTTAGGAGTTATTATAAGAACACAGTGAGAATGTACCCATTGGAGGGTTTTAGGCAGAAAAGTGACATGATTTGACTTGTATTTTGACAGGACTGAAAGCGACTTATGTTGGACACAGACTGCAGGTGGGGGGGCAGGGTGGAAGCAGGGAGACCTGTGAGAACCTAGTGCCATAATCCTGGTGAGAGGTGACATCATGGTGACCCAGGGTGGTGGCGTGCTGCACAATGCTCTCCTTTCATGATGCTTTTAAGAGGCCTGCTCACCCCTATTTCTCTGAAGTCACAGACTGCACCCTTCCAGGAGTCCCCCTCCTGTCCCTTCATTCAATCTGACAACCCTTCCTGTGCTCATAGGAAGGTTGTCACAAGTGTTCTGGGTGATAGGGCAGGGGCTCTGTTGATAAGCGCCGGGTGGATCAGAGACCCTAGGCTGCTGTGCTCACTCCATCAGCACCTGTGTGCTGTTGTGGGGCAGGTATTGGCATGCATAGCTAAAGGGAGTTGAGGCAGATGAAGCCCTTGTGGTGCCGATGCTTCCAGGTCAGGAGCTACTTGTGCACCTCCTCCTCTCCCATGGGATTTTCGTGGAATGAGGATTAGTGCAGCCAGGGCAAAGTGGGGACCCCTCCTCACCAATGCAGGGTATCACTCTGGGTCCTCTGCATGTGGTCGTCATTCTGGAGCACCAGCTCTTCAGGGATCTCCTCCTTCCTGGTACAGAAACCAGAGAGGTGAAGCCACCTCCTCTCAGGCCAGTGCATGAGCCCAGTGCACCTTTGCCATGGTGTGCTCCTCCTCAGGAAGGATAGCCACACAGTCCCTAAGAATTATCAGAGGATCCGAGGCCGTCAGCTGGACAACTGCAGTGTCCCTCTCTTGCAGAGGGATGGGCTTGTCCCCCAGACTCTTGGGTCATGACAATCTGTGCACGTTTTGGTCCAGACCCTCTGTGTGTGTATGTGATCTGTGGCACACTAGACCGGCTTGGCGTGGGTGCAGTGGCATCTGGCTGTGAGTTGCTTCCAGACAGGGAGACAGAGCCATCTGACCCAGAAGCTACCACCTCCCCTTCTGGGGCAACTGAGGGGCTGCACCAGTGGAACACACCTAAGCCAAGGCTTCTCTTCCCACCATCCCTTATCTCCCAGAGTTGCCATAGAGTTTTCCAAAGGCATTTGCTTTAAAGGGAAATGCTGCCGGCTGAGGGGTCTCCAGGGTTGGTCCGATGACAGGCGTCCTTTGTGGAGGCCTTCACCTCTGCTCCCCCTCTGTGAATCAATAAGCAAACACTGTGTTCCAGGTGGAGCAGCTTGAAGGTGGGAACAGGCTTGGGAGTGAGGGAGGTCTCTGGTACATTTTATATGGAGGCTTAGACCATTGTGCATTTCCCTTTTGAAATTGTTTTTCATGTCCTTTGCCAATTTTGGGATCTTCGTGTGTTCTTTGAAAATACGCATTCATCTTATAAGTCTCTTAATATTGTAAGTATTTCCCCAGTCTGCCATCTGCCTTTCAGTTTTATGTTGGAAATGTATGCTTTACTTTTTTATGTCATGTGTCAGCCATTTTCATTTGACCTAATTTATTCCATTACTTTAATGTTTAAAGTGCATTCCCACCTCAAGATGAAATGTATATTAACCTC